GTCCACGGTCCGACTTTGGAAATGATTATGCATACAATGGACTTCGGACAATGTGCGTTCCTCTAAGTCCTCCTGCAAATATGACCAAGTTGCGAGAACAAGGTCAAACAACTTCTATTGTATATTTAAGGTCGTTCATCTAGCATATAATATATATATGAATTATGAGAATTTTTTGATGAGAATTGTACTTAATATATTATGAACGGTTCTTTTTCTTTCTCCTGTTCGAAACCTTTAGATCATGGAATACTTTTGATGGGTCAATTTTATCTATTATTTCACCAGGAATTGCCATTTTTCATTGTCTTTCCTGTTCACATCACTAGATTCATCATCTACGTGAATGGCAAACCTATCGGGTTTACTGAGCAGCCAGGTACTCTTGTCCGCCTCATCCGCGGACTTCGGCGTGCTTGTTGTCTACATCAGTTCGTGTCGGTCCACATAAAGACTGCCCAGCGCTGCGTACATGTCGTCAGTGACGGTGGCCGCCTCTGTCGGCCTTACATAATCGTTTCAGCTGGAAGTCCCCTTTTAACACAAGCAATGATTGAAGTATGTCTTACCGGGATTTATTTCCCCTTTGCCCTATTGTTTCTCATTTTTATATTAAGAAAGAGTTTAGAACTAGCTTGATCTCGTTCTCGCTACTTGGTCGTGGTGCCATGGGGACCTGATTAGACACACCTTGTCCGAAGTCTTTTGCTATAGTAGTAATCGTAATTCCCAGTGTTGGACCATGAACTTGGTACATTACCAGACGTTTCGCCGGCATTGTAATCGGCATATTCAGTAAGCCTTGCCATTCTCACGACCAAACTACAACTCGTCGAAGAGACAAGTGAAGTCAATCTCTTCACCAACTTTCGGTCGAACGATTGGGCTCTTATTCCTCTTTCTTTCCTAGTATGTATAACTACTTCTTAACCTCATCTCACTTCCGCTCTATCACAACTTCTGACTTGTTTATATTCGACTCCTCTATAGAAGTGTCCTTTTTTGGCGAGTTTAGTATGGCGTCATCACACCTGTTGTTTTCCTTGTACCTCTTCCCTAACGAGTTTCTGATTCAACTCGGACTTTCTTCATGGGCCTGTAGATTCATTTCTTATCTTTCTGGTTGATTGATTTAATTCGGTTCTACTTTAACTTTACGTTTTACTTCGAGCGCTATTTATTAAGCCTTTACTAGCACGTACACTAGTGCCTCAGCGAGCAGAGCACACAGGCTCTGATTCCAAGAAAGATAAAGAACGAATCTACTGGCCCGTAAGGAAAGTCTGAATTGAATCAGCAAATGGAGATGGCGGAAGGCAAGGTAAACAACAGGCGCGATAGTGTCTAGTCTGGGAATGTACTAAGTCCACGGTTCGGCTCCGGGAATTATTATAACTATTATAACAAAGGGCTTTGGACAAGGCGCGTCCAACTAGCGCGTCCACGCAACGCTATCAAGTTGTAAAAACGAGATCAGATCACCTTCATACATCAAAAGGAGACTGCAACCAAAACAAAGGCCACAACATCTGCTAAAGAGTTTAGTTACTCTGATAATTTGCCATATATTTTTTATATGACAGCTGTAAGCATTTGAATATAGCGCTTAAGCTTATGCTGAGTCCTTGAAAATAATATATAAACTTTTTTAAATCTTAAAATATTCTTTTCTACTC